GATCAGGTTGGAAGGAGGGTTCTACCACCGATTCCTATAGTCCACAGATGTCTTCTGGAGCAATTCCTCTGGGTCAAGCCTTGTTCTAGGTGCTGGGGCCACAGCAATGAGCAAAACGGGAAAAGAGTCCAGTCCCCTGGAGCTGACAGCATAGTGGGGAGGTCGAGTGCCTGGTAAAAGTACAGAAGTGCTGCTGGAGGATTGGTGAGCAGTGAGGGGTGTGGCCAGAAGGCAGAGTGTGGGGCCTGAAAGGATGGTTTGGAGGCGGGGTTAAGGACCAAGAAGGCCAGGACTGGAGCTCCAACTTTATCCTGCGGGCAGTGGGGACCCGTGTGGGTATGGGTGAGGCAGGGTCAGACTTGAGTGAAGAAAAGATTACTCCATCAGGTATGGGCATCGGGGAGAAGGAGACACAGTGGTCCCTGAAGGAGGTACTAGGGCAGGTGCGCCCACCAGTGTTCTATGTGCAGGAGCTCTGTGAGCAGGCGTATAGAGATGTGAGTCTGTGTGTAGGAGTATGTGTGTGTGTGTAGGAGTGATGGGAGTGTGTGTGTGTATCTACGGAAAGACAGTGAGTGTCTGGATGATTGTGTGTGGCCTGCAGCAGCCTTGTGTGACAGAAGGCTCTTGGGGTTTGCAGAGGATAAGGAGCAGATGCCAAGGTGTGCCAAGGCCTGAGTCCCCTGGACCTCAGCCCCGATGTGAGCTGGCAGGTCCTGGACTAGTCCTGGACTAGAATCCTCCGGGCTGCCTTTCCCCGCTAGGGTCGTGCAGCTGGCCATCTGCTGCAGACAAGATAAATGTGTATGCAAATAACATGGAAGTGGACGAGACCTGTGGTTGACCCACCCCTCTCCCCTCATCCCTTGAGCCTGAGCTCACTCAGCCTGTGCTCTTTCCCGGTTAGAGCTGCTGCGGGGGCTCTGGGAGCAGGCCCTGCCCACTCAGAGCCCAAATCCACATTGTCCCCAACACCTGCCTGCGGCCAGATCCTTTCTCTGTAAGGGCCACTGCCACATCTGGAGCCAATGCCAGCGGACACACAGAGCTGACTGGGGCTAGTGGCCGTTAGCAGCACCTCTGTTAGTTGTGAATTTGAGTACATGCAGACTCACACATCTGCATCTATGTGCCATACTTGGACTCTTGTGCACACACACAATTGTATACACATACTTACATGTGTGCATACGCACTCACACCTGGGCACACATACTGTCTGCACACACACACACATGCACATTCCTGTAGATACGCACACATCTGTGTACACACGCACAAGCTCAGCTGTACAATGAAAGCATCACACATCCTTACAAAGATACAAACTTACAAAACTGTACTCCGCCTTCACCCACATCATGGTCACAGACCTGCATGCGGGACCTTACACACGTGCACACACCAGGGCTAACTAACGGTGCCTCACAACTGTGCCCTCTCCGGGGCTGTGCCCACTGCGGATGGGCTCTAGCTGGACACAGAACCTGCAGAGATGTCAGCTTCCTCCTGGGCCCTTCTTGGACTGTCCCCGGGCAGGGCCCCTCGGATGGTGGAACCCTCTTTTAGTCCATGGGCTCCACCTCAAGTCATGGAGAGACTGAGCCACACACACTGCCTCCTGAGGAGCCCCCACATCGGGATCTGGCCCTCGCTCACAGTCCTTGGGCCTGGCATGCCCGGGCAGGCCTGCCTGCCCCAGAGAGCTGCCTTCTGCCCCGCTAGGCCTACCTGGACCCTGCCTTCCTCCACCCGAGCCGCTTGAGTTCTCAAAGAGAACCAGGCCAACCTTCACAGGGCCAGAGCCTTGCATGGGGCCACCCAGCATGTCAGGGCAGGGCTCAGGTTTGAACCTGGGCTTCTGGGAGTCTGACCATGGCTAGCAGCAAGAGGATAGATGCGTGTCAGGCACGCAGACAGGCTCCTGGAAGCAGGACACATGGTCATGGAGGATGGGAGCAGATTTGGGGTCTTTGGAGGGCCTGCTGGTGTCACACTCTTACATGGAGAGATGACGAGCATGAAAGTCTGCTCACCAGCCCTGGGTGAGGAAGTGCTTTGTAAGCGCAGTGGTCCAGAGAGGGGTCATTGTTAGGAACGAGGAAGGGCTGGTTCTTGGACAGGGCCTGAGGTTGAATGGCCCAGTAGCCAGGTTGACAGGCTGTCAGCTGAGTCACCTTTTCCTAAAATACCGAGTCTGAGGTAGCTGGGCCACTGGACAGCTTAATGTGACCTGTAAGGTGGGGAGATGAAAAGAGGCGGCTGTGGAGCTGAGCCAGGTACCCCTGAAGCTGGGCTTCCTCATGGCAAAGGCGGGCCGAGGGTTCAGGGGCTGGGAGTGTAGGACCCTGAGTGCATTCTTGGGGACAAAAGGAGAAGTGGGAAAATTAGTTTTTCTCACATGCCTTTCCTCAAGAGGCAGAGAATGAATATAAAGCACAGATTGGAGCCAGATGGCCTGGGTTTGAATTTTGGCTCTACTACTTATTAGTTGTGTGACTGTGGGCAAGTTACTTAGTCTCTCTGTGCCTCAGTTTTCCTTATCTGTAAAATGTGGCTAATAATGGGTCCAACCTTATAGTGTTGTTGAGAAGATGAACTGTGAGTCACAGAGTAAGTGCTCAGCAAATGTTAAAGCCCAAGAGATGCTGGCCGTGCCAGGCCAGGATTGGCCCTTGACTGTGAGGTCTGAGATGGCCTCTCCTGAAGAACAAACGCCTCTGGCGAGTGGCTGTAACAGAAGCCTCCTGGATGCCTGTGTCCCACCCGCATATCCGGAGCCCAAGACTGAGCTGATGACAGATGCTCAGGATTTACCAAGAGATTTGTGCACTGGCCTCAGACTTATAATAGCCCTTACATTGGTCACTCCCTTTACAGAGCAAGAAACTGAGGCCAAAAAAAGAGAAGGGAGGCCTTTTTCTGGGCCAGAACCTTTACATATCTTAGCCCATGTAATGTTTTCTACAGTGTTAGTAAGTAGGACAAATTGCCCCCAATTTGAAGATGCAGTAAAATAAGATGCAGTGAAATTGCCCCCAGACATGACGCTTAGGAAAGATGCAAGAAGGGGGACCCAGAGGGCTGAGGTAGCATCCAGGGAAGGCCTCCTGGAGGAGGTGGGCCTCCGACTGGCCCCTGAAAGGTAAGCAGGCTGATAGGATCTAGAGGACATTAGGGTTGGGGTGGCTAGGTAAAAGCCTGAAGGTGAGAATGAGTCAGTCACGCATCTGAGTAGAGCGGGAAGTATAAATTTAAGGAACGGTGGCAAGAGGGTCAAAGCTGAAAAAACAAGCTGGGGCTAAGTCATAGAGGGTCTGCCGTGTCAGGCTGAGGGTTGGGACTTTATTGTGCTGATGGTAGGGAGTCACTAAAGGTGTGTGAGCAGGGGAAGAGGCATTGTTCAGAGTTGGCCCTCAGAAAGAGAGGTGGGAGAACTCTTGGCATGGAGGGCTTCCCCCTGAGCTGTGACACAGCTAGGGCTCTGCCCAGCCTGTGTGCCAGGTGCCTGGACTGTGTCCAGGACTGGGCTCAATGACTCAACCTTGAGGAGATCACTCCCCAGGGAGAAAGGGCCCAGATGAATCAGCCCAGTGAGGTGGGGAGCTGGGAAGCTGGAGGGTCACTGAGTCACCCTCCAACAGGGGTGGCGGGTGAGGGTTAAGGGGAGAATTGCAGAGAGAGGGGACCGCAGTACATGGGAAGGATTCAGGTCAGACCACAGCGAGGGCTGTCAGGGGACTCTGGCTGCCTTCGCACCATTGTGGGGTTGATTCTCCTGGCAGTCTTGTGAAAGAGATGGCAAGACGAAAGCCCAGAAACCAACTGGGGAGGGGATCTGACCAAGGTCATAAAGTAAGTAGCTAGCCGGCAATGGCCAGGAGACACCCAAGAGCACCCTCCAGTCCAGACACGTCCCACCGCCCCAGCCGACCTCATGCCAAGCGGAGGCTAGGAACCGGTTGGGTCCAGGCAGGGAGCTGGCCCAGGTGACCCCTTTCCCCTCCGACACCCGCCCCTCCCGCGCAGATGGCAAATCGGGCCGGGCTGAGCCGCCGCGCTGGGACAGCAGGGGGCGCAGGAGCGTCACGGCTGCAGCGGGTGCCTGAGCACAGAGGCCGCTCTGCGGTGAATTGCGCTTCGGCTCGCAAGTCCCACCGCGGAACTGTGGACTGTGTGGCCCTGGGGCCTGCACCCTCTCTGGCTTGCGGGGACCCCAACGCAGACCTGCCTTCCCAGTGCTGGGGGCCCAGTGCCCCTACCCACAACTTGGGAATGGTGCGCCTGTGTGTGCGCTCGCGTGTCAGTGCGCACGTGTCTCCCTCCCAGATTTGCTACTGCTTCCAGGGCCTGTCAGACTCGGAGCGACCTCTGAAATTTCCCCCGATTTCCTCCCTTTTTCCTGGAAGAAGAGCAAGCCCAGGGCTCCTTGTTCGTGCCAGCGGTCCCTTCCCCTCTATCTCCCCCTCCGGACCGCCCCCCCCCGCCCCCTCACTGCGCTGGTCTCTGCCGTGGGACTGTAGCCTGGCTCCAGGACTTTATTAAGTAAGTGGTGGGGGGAGAGGATGTGATCAGGAGAGAGGCTCAGAGAGGCGACCCCTGAGAGGTAGTGAAAGGAGTAGCGAAGGGGCAAGAGAAGGGAGCGAAGGCTGAGAGCAGGCTATCAGGCGGGGGATCCTAATAGCGCACAAGCTGGAAGAATCTTGAGAGCAGAGAGATAAGGGAAGTGAGAGCTGGTGGGGGGCTCTGGTGGGGGTGGGAAGATTGGACGAGCTAAGAGGTGCTGTCCGCGGTTGCGGAAGGTGGGCGGGGCCGGGGCGGTCGGGGGGCGGGAAGTGGGCGGTTCGGGGCGGGGCCAGGGCGGACACTCGCGCGGATCAGGCGAAGCCGTCGCGGACGCCCTGGCCAAGCGCAGCGGCCAGGCCGGCGGGCGGGCGGGCGGCTGCGAGCATGGTCCTGGTGCTGCACCACATCCTCATCGCTGTTGTCCAATTCCTCAGGCGGGGCCAGCAGGTCTTCCTCAAGCCGGACGAGCCGCCGCCGCCGCAGCCATGCGCCGACAGCCTGCAGGTAGGGCCCCCCGCCCCTCCCGGCTCTGGGCACGAGGGGAACGGGGTGTTGGGTGAGCGCCAGGCCGGGTTCTCCGCGGAGCGTGCTGTCGCCGGTCCCATGGTCTACCCCGTCCCTGAACCCTTCTAGGTTGGGGACCCCAGGGTGGGGACCCCTCCCCAGCTGAAAATCCCACTTCTGTGCTGGGACTGCAGCCCGTACCCTAGAGACATTGAGTCCTTAGCTCGCAGTTCAAAGCCTCACGCCAGACTCTGAACCCTTTTCAGATCTGGGACTCCACCCCCAAGCACTGAACTCCCAATCCACAATGGGACCCCTGTTCACACCCAAGAGTTCTGTTTGAGCCTGGAACCCCCTGCCTCCCAGATTAGTGGAGGACCCCTGCCCATAGCCCTGGACCCCCAATATATTTATCAGACTCCAGGCCCACCCAGAACACCTGAACCCCCGACTCTCAACCAGGACCCCCCCTTAGAGCTGGGGCCCCTCATCTCAAGCCCCTGAACCCCGACTCCACAGACTCATCTATGCCCTCACCCAGATTCCCACTCAAACACCTGGACTTCAGTCCTCACACCAGACCCCACCCAGGGTCCAAATGCCTCTTTCCATTACAGTTTGTCTCTCCTCTGCAGGATCCCCCTCCCACCCTCTTCCTGCTTTCCCTCCTCCCTCCTGTATAGAAGATCCTAGCCTTTTCCTGCTTGTCTCACCCTCTCCTCTTGTCTCTCTCTGGGTATGGTGGCCCCCGTTTCTCCTCTGAGTCTTTCTGGGCATCTTCTCCCTCTGCCCCTCTATTTCTTTCTTGTTTGGTCTCTTTTGCCTACGTGCCCCCCTCTCTCAGTCTGCCCATCACTCCCCCAGTTTCTCTAGGTTTCCGTTTTTGTTCTAGGGCTTTTCCCTGTGGTCATTCTTCCCCTTATATCAGCCTCTACTTTGGGGTGGTGAGGGGACAGGCTCAGAATGCCCCGCCGGTGTCCCCAGGACCTCTTCCCCCTCCCCTGTTGTCAGGCATGGCATGGTGTGGGTGCTGGTGGAAGGGGCTAAACATGGAGCAAGCAGCCCTTGGGCGGTACCGAGGGATTTAAGGTGGGTGGGGATTGTGCAGTGGGGCACTGGGGTTCATAACTTATAAACCCCCTCATCCCTGCTGAACTGGACTTGGGAAGCCGGGGGCTTGGGATGAGGGAGGGGAGGAATAGCCTGCAACCTGGTGTCAGTCACCTGTGGTGGGAGGTGTCCAGGGCTGGGCGAGTCTGGGTGGTATGTGTTTGAGTAGGAAGAGCTGGGTTGTGTGTGTTGGGTGTGCCTTGTGTGTGATCATGTGTGTTGTGTCATGTAGTATTGTGTGTGTCATCAGCGGTGGGATTATTGGGGGGATCTGTGGGAGCTTATGCTGAGTGTGAGGACTGTGAGTGTAATGGCGTTGCATGGCGTGTGCAGCTAGGGAGGCCGAGTTGTGAGTGTGGAGTGGTAGGTGTATGTATGACTGTTGTGTGTGTGGGGAACTTATGTGTACGTGACTGTGTGTCATCGTGGGGTGGAGTAGTTGTAGGGGCAGCTTACATGGGGGATTGTGTGTGTATTTGTGTGTGTTATGGACTGTTGTGTGTAACCAGGAAGAGCTGCTGGAGGGGTCTGATGAAAGGTTTCATTGGATGTCTTGGTAGAGGGGAGTGGGGGTGGGAGAGCTGTGTCTGAGTGGGTTTGCAGCCTAGGTGACTGGCTTCGAGTCACCGAGTTCCATCCTGGAGTTGCTCGGGAAATATATTGGGACCTGTGTGTTGGTGTTTAAGTGTCATGTGTCTGTGTGATGACTGTTTGTACAGCTCTGGGTAGGAAAGTGTGCAGCAGCCAGGGTCCAGGGGGCCAAGGCAAGGACTTGTTGACTCTGTGTGTGTGTGTGTGTGTGTGTGTGTGTGTGTGTGTGTGCGCGCATGCATGCCCAAGTACATGTGGGGAGGAGGCAGTGTGCAGGCAGGACTGTCTGTGCTAAGGAGCTGTGTGTGCCCGCAAACATTTGACATTTTGGTGTGACATTAGGTGTGCACATTATCTATGCAGGGTGTGTCTCTATGTCTAGGTGATGTGTGTGTATTGAATTTAATTGGAACTGTGTGTCTGTGCTTGGAGAGGTGAGTGTCGGGTGTGTGAGGTGCGCGTGGGAGGTTGAGTGTGAGTGTGACGTGAAGTGTGGGTGTGTGAGCTGGATGGCTTTTCGGTGTGACACGTGGATTATGTGATCTTCTCTCCCTGTGAGCTGTTTACATGTGAAGGGTATCTAGTTAGCTAGGGTATGTGTGGGGAGAGGGGGGGCTGGAGGGCTGTGGAAGGTGTTGCAGGGGGTGAGGGATTGGGTGTATAAGGTGTGTGGGGTGAGGAATGAGGTATGTGATGTTCGGGTGTGCAGAATACAGCAGGTGTCCCATAAATGTTTGTGGAGTGATGTGTGTGTGCAGGGAAGGCTTGGCTGCCATCCTGTTTTCGCTTCCCTCCCAGTTAGGTCCCCTGAGATGCCCAAGCCAGGCTGCCTCTACCCTTTGCCCTTCATCCTCCTCGCTTTCACTAAGGCCTTTGTCTTGGGTTTCCGGCTGAACAGGCGCTGGACAGGCGGGCGGCGGGCGATGTGGAGGTCCTGGAACCTTTGTTCTTTTCCTCTTAGCCTGTCTCATGTTTTGGGCCGGGATTGGAAGGGGCGGGGAGAGGATGCACGTGTCTCGGGCTCACTGTGTTTACTACCACCTCATGGTTCTCCGCAGAGGGTGGGGGTCCAGGCGCAGGCACTGAGGCCTGGGTGGTATCCCTGGTGGCGCCTCCTCAGCGCAGTAGCAGCTGGGGCTGGGCTGGGAGTTAGGCAAGTTTGCCAACCATGATGTCTTAGTCCCAAGTGTGGCCCACTGCCCTTCCTTCTCATGTCATCTCCGGGGTGCTGAGAAGCCAAGTGCCCCCTTCTGCATGCTGCCCAGTTCTCTTCCCTTCTCTGTGTGGCGCCCAGAGAGGGTCACTGGGCTGGGAGGCAACCCGGAAGAGCTCAATCTATCTCCACTTGTGTTGACCCCATATCTGATGGGGGGATAGTTGCTTTCCTCACAGAGACCTTTTTCTGAAAAACGAAGCCAGATCACATCTTTGGGGACCCTCTAGTCTGATGGACCCAGTAAGAGGATCCAGGTCATACCCTCCAGAGAAAGCTATGGGGAGACCTTAGTGGACAGTCTGCCAACAAGGACTTGAGAGCACGAAAGGCCAGGACTCCTTGTGGTTGGAAGGCACAGAGACCATCAGAGTCAGTCAGGGGAAGGGGCTCGGGGCCAATGCCTCAGCACCACATTCCAGAAGATTCTCTGAAGTGAGTGGGCTTGAGCTGAGCCTTGAAGGGGGTGTTGGATGGGCAGAGAAATGTGGCCTGAGGCTGAGGAAAATTCTAGCCCAACTGGAAGAAGGGATCTTGAAGGCTGTTGATCATTCCCAAGCAATACTGTCTGGTTTTGGATGGCCATCCCTGGGCCTCCTACCTTCTCAAGCTTTCATGTCACCTTTTCCCATCCTGTTGTCTTTGGGCAGAATCATCATTGTCATCATCTTCGTCATCACCGTTTAGGCAGCTCTTTCCAAATTCCAAGCTCCTTTCACAAATGTCTCCTTTAACAGGAGCTCATTCTGTTGTCTGAAAGCATTTATTGAGCACCTGCTATGCACCAGGCAGGCACAGTGTTAAGTGCTGCAGTCATAGCAGTGACTAAATAGGCCTCATGGGACTCCCATTTTCTGTGTCTAAGAAACCCCATCTTCATGGCCCAGCCACACTGTCAGCCCCTCAGGCCTTGGGCAGACGGCCCTCCCTTCTGTTTCCCGCAGCCTGACATGCACATGATATGCTCCAGGCATGCATCCCATGGTGTTGGGGTCTGGCTCCTGCCAGAATTCGAGCTCTTGAGAGGCTGGGCTGGGTCTGCCCATCCCATGTGTCCTGAGCTAGGTTCAACATAGATGCTTATATTGATCATCAGAGGTCTCTAACCCCCTGTAGGGGTGGCAGCCCCGCTGCCATCTAGGGAAACTGAGGCCCAGAGCAGGGAGATCTTTAGGGAGCCTCCTCTTAAGACCCTCCTTTGACCAGTGTTACCAGAGACCAAGAGTGGCCAGGTGACTTGTCCAGGTTTCACAGCAAGGTGGCAGGGCTGGTCCTAAAATACAGCTCTCCTGGCTGCCAGGCTGGGCTCCGGCCCCAGCACCATGCTGCTCCCTGGCTAGCCTCCGTGCTGCCTGTGGAGGGTAAATGATTATTAATGACCCCCCTGGCAAGGAGACAGGAAATGTTTCCCAACCACAGCTGGGAACCTGCTCCCTGCCAGCCCCAGCCACCCATACCCACCCTGGCCATGGTGTCAGCACTGATGTTAGCTCCATGCTGCCTTGGCCTTCTTTCTTTCCTCTTGCCCATCCGAATCCCACCTCCCTTCCCTTTAAGGTGTAAAGGACAAGAAGGAACAGAGCTTTCTCTTTCACATCTCTGTCTCCAACCTGCTTCATCTCCACCTTCTCCCCTGCCCCAAACCAGCCAGAAGTAGCCCCTCCTCCAGCAAGTCTTCCCCAAATGCACCACCAGCCCCTCCAGTGGCCCTGTCCTTGGCTCTGGTCACTGAATCTCCCTCATTTCAGACTCTGGTCCCACTCTGATGGTTTGCCCTGATGGCCCTAAGGCTGGCTGGGGACTTCCTGTGGCCTGTCCTCAACTTCTGTGTTAGGACTGACATGTGGAGGATCATCCCAAATGCTTCCTCCAGGAAGTCCCCAGCCCAGCCCGGGGACTCTCACTTCCTCTGAGCACCCCAGCACTCCCTGTCCGTGCCACACACTGTGTGCTGCCAGGCCTTAATAGGTGGACAGTTAGTGAGCACCTACTCTGTGCCTGGCAGAGAGGGTAGGTAGAGAGAGCATGGTGGGGGCCTTAAATTTCGGCCACACATTGTGCCAAGTCTGAGCAACAAGGCGTCTGC